GACCACTCCTCTTGTGCGGCTTTCCAAAGTCCGGCCTCAGTTTTGGGACGTCGGTTGAAGAGCCGTTGTTTCAACATACCGAACCCGTAAAAATCCAGTGGGCTGGCGTCGGGAGACTTCACTGGAATGTCCGAGTTCCTGATAAAATTTAGGCCTAGGGTGTCCTTCATTTCTTGTAGGAACTGTTGGGTTTTGTTGGAGGTATGGGAAGAGGCTTTGTCGTGATGAAGGAACACTTTGTCCATTTCCCCTGGGTAAAGGTCCTTCAGTTGTTCGATGACAGGTTTCAGAACGCATTCTATATAGAATTCTGAGTTCACCTTCACCTTCGATGGAACCTTTATGAGCGGAAGGACTCCACGGCCAGTCATTACCCCGACAACCATGAAACCTTTAGGGAAAGTTTCGGAGCATTGGTGAACCCAATTATCCGGGACCTGATTGCCTCTTTTGATGTAACAGATCTTCCGGATTCCATTGCAATACGTCACATACATCCATGCTTCGTCCAATGTTGCAGTATATTCCGATCTGGAACCGGCCAGGTGTTCCTCGTAGAGCTTCCGGGCATTCGTTGCACGGTTTTTCATGTGGAAAGGGGTGAGCTTGTGAACCTTGCCTTTTCTTCGGGTATCCAGTTCCAAATCTTTGTGAATGATGTTATTTATCGTTTTTAGCGATGTTCCACACATTCTGGAAAGTTGGCGCTGAGATGGTGGATTTTCAGTAGTTGCTAGCCGCTTTACCTTGGAAACCGTGGCGGGGGTCCGCACCGGACGTGGTCGATCGACTTGATATTTTTGCCCATTGGATTCAGCTTCCCTTTTCTTTCCGATGCCATTTACTACCCTACATATTGTAGCTTTGCCAACATCTAGTCCTTCTGCTTTTAGCTTTTTCACTATGACGCTATAACTGTTTCCTTCTTTGGAAAGGGTCCGAATTGTTTGTTCGACTTGGAGCGTTAGTCTCTCTCCCCCCATGTTGCAAAAATCATGATACCTGATGAAAATGAATTCTCCAGAAGATTCTAGATCTATTGGAACCAGTGTCGTGTGCAGCATGCCTGCACGTGCAAAACGCGAGCGCTCGAAAATCGTTTCATTTGAAAGGAAACACCCTCCGTATCATATTTGAGCCGAACCCTAAGTAAACCTGAGCAAAATTATTCAACCACCGAAAAGGAATGTTTAGCTGTAGTGTGGTCGATATCAAAATTACGGCCCTATTTATATGGAAGGCACTTTAAAATCGTAACTGATCATCACGCACTATGCTGGCTTAAGAATTTAAAAGATCCGACCGGTCGATTAGCACGATGGGCACTGAAGATTCAGGAATATAATTTCGAAATTATACACAAATCGGGAAAAAAACATATGGACGCTGATGGTCTATCTAGAGGACCCTTACCAGAAAACGAATGGGACGAGGATTATGAAAGACTATTTTTGAATCAAATAATAGACGAAAAGGATGATTTTATTGAGAATATTAAGGAGAACCTTAGTGGAAACAAGCGTTCAATTACACAGAACTTTAAAGAAGAAAATGGGTGTCTCTACAAGAAAAATCCAAATTCTGAAGGCAGAGAATGGTTGCTGGTAGTGCCAAAGAAGAGAAGGAAAGAAATCATGAGTGAATACCACAACCATATGCTGAATGGCCATCTGGGCGTCGCCAGAACCACATACCGATTGAAGAATAAATACTATTGGCCTTCCATGCTGAAAGATGTTTCCGAATTTGTAAAGACGTGCCATCTTTGCCAAAGTCGGAAAGGTTCAAATCAGTTGCCATCTGGACTTCTACAACCTATTCCCCCAGCTAACTACCCTTTTGAAAGAATCGGAATTGACTTTGTTGGCCCCTTGCCATCAACGAAAAGAAGAAGGAAATGGATCATTGTGTTGACGGATTATTATACCAAGTATGCTGAAACAAAGGCAGTACCAGAAGCGACAGTGAAAGAAGTCTCTACATTTTTAATCGAACATATATTTTTACGTCACGGGGCTCCAAGATTTCTTATCAGCGACAGAGGTTCACAATTCACTAGCAATTTGATGAAGGAGGTTATGAAAATGTGCAAAGTTAAACATTGCTTCACAACGAGCTACCACCCCCAGACTAACGGACTAACGGAACGGCTAAATAGAACTTTAATCAATATGATCAGCATGTATGTGAATACGGATCAGAAGAACTGGGACGAAATCCTTCCTTTTATCACACACGCATATAATACCACAATTCAAGAAACCACAGGCTACTCTCCATTTTTCCTGTTGTTTGGGAGGGAACCCATGTCCCTCTTAGACGACGAGAATATCCCAACGGACAGTAACATGGACGATTACGACGAATATATAGAAAACTACTTAGATAAAATAGCAAGGACGAGACAGGTAGTCATTAACAACACAGAGAAGACTCAGGAAAGAATGAAAAGAAACTATGACAAAAAACACAACGAGAGAATCTATGAACCAGGACATTTAGTGGCAGTTTGGACACCAGTCAGGAAAATCGGAAAATGTGAAAAACTATTGAGAAAATATTTTGGGCCATATCGAATATTAAAGAAGCTGTCCAACGTAAATTACTTAATTGAGCCGAAAGATAATCCTGGCCAAGACCCATTGATTGTCCATGTCTCAAGACTCAAACCCTATTTTGAAAGAATTGATGAGGTCACTCACGAGGACGTGACGACCTCTGGAGAGGGGGAAGTGTTGCATCATGATTAATGCGCCTATTTTTAAAATTATTTATAATATTATTTTTAATATATTTAAAATTTAAATTATAAATTTATTTATTTTTATAAAACAGATTATTAATATAAAATATTATGTACTATAAAACATTTGTATTTTGATACACTAAATACCCTACATGCTTTAAACTTTGATGTGGTAAATAAAGAGAGATTCTAGGTGCTACCTAAATTTATAGTTGTCTTATTATTGACTGGTTTAACCTTGTAAGATGGTTGAGACACGTTCTGGAAAGATGCAAGACACGTCTGAGGAGAGACTCAAGACTGAAGAATCTGCCAAACCGCAGCCCAGTGCAACAATATTACCAACATTTTATTGTCCACAAGATGATGATAAAAACAAGATGATCAAAACAGAGTAGAGTAATAATATATCACTGATATATTATCTTTAAACAAAACAGATCAAGCTTCTTTGCCTATAATAGACAATAAGGTTGCAACTTTTAATTTGTCTTCTTTATTGTCCAACCCTGTTGCTATTGAAAAGTTACGCCAATGCGATTTGAAATATCTCCAGTTTTCTTCTATATTTCCTCTGAAATTAACTGGTTCAGGTGGCGGTATTTGTAAATACATATCTTTTGTCTATTTAATATACGATAAGGCTTATTTATTATTTTATTAGTCTTAACGTAAAATTGAACTTACCGCGATATTTTTTTTTCGTTTGTTTTCAAATCACTTTTCTGACACCATGTTTGGTTTGTTAGTGTCTTGTACAATACAACGAATCACTAACCTATCATGAAGACGTAACTTTATTGACTGGCCTCTGTTGTAATATGTTATTTTACATATCCTGCTTGAACCAAAACATTAACTTGTGATGATGATATATTCAATCACTGAATAACCTAACATTTACGATAATTAAATTTATATATAGAGGAAAACTTAATTGAGACAATTAAGCTCATAAATAGATAAGCACATTAATATAATTTATATAAATTTATTTTGAGTATATATATATTATTATTAAAAATAAAGAAGGCATCTCCTGACCACGAGCACATGTGCTTTTTAGATGGCAGAGCGCCATCTAGTGGAGCAAGAATAAACTAAACGTTTATTTAGCTTGCTCCGTGATATTTGGCCAACCCAATTTCTTGATAAATCAAGAAAAGTCATCCACGAACGCGTTTCGCGCTGTTGGCGCTCGTCAGCGTGGAGTAGACTGTAACCACTGCGACCAAAAAGATTTTTTGGTCCCAATGGCTTCCCGAGAAATCAAGAAATGGGTGGATGACTTTTCTTGATTTATCAAGAAATTGGGTTGGCCAAATATCAAGGAGCAAGCTAAATAAACGTTTAGTTTATTCTTGCTCCACTAGATGGCGCTCTGCCATCTAAAAAGCACATGTGCTCGTGGTCAGGAGATGCCTTATTTATTTTTAATATCAACACCTGACCCACTTATCTTTTATTTTTTCTATTGTTTTTTCATATATTATTATATAAATTAAACTGGCGAAACCGCTGGGAGGGTTCACCATTGATGAGCCAGGCCCTCCCAATTAATTTTTGCATTGCAGTAAGAGCAGTAGAAATTGTTTAATTTTAAAAGAATCATACGCGTCTATAATAGTTTCTAATTTTCATAACAGATGGCGCGCTAATGCATCATAATATAAATTTATTTGTTTATTCACACATGGCCATTTGCGGACTCTCTCAGGTATGTTTACATCAGGTTTTACTTTCAATCCAGCTGCCACGAGATTCGCTCTGACCTGAGCGTGAGATAAACAAAACCAAGCACTAATTAAAGTGAAAAGTTTCAATAAAGATATTAACAAATTTTCTCTTTAAAATAATATTAAAATATAGTTATTTTAAATAGTCTCTTAAAACCTAATTACTTTTAAACTCACAATTTAAATAAGATTAAAGGTTTAGCGCTCATTTTAAAGATGATTCCTTTAAAAGATGCCCTCAAATAATTGATCATTTTTATTAAGAGTACCTAAATCTATCTATAGGGATAAGTAATACTAGATGTGATCACAAATTGTTTCTATATTAAATATATTTGATATGTTTGACTCGGTTCTCTCAAGCAATTGAATTTTTCAAATTTACAAAACTACTCAAACTTACCGCTTATAGTTGTGTATCTATCGTTGAAATTGGTTGTAATTCCATCCCCGTGTGATTCCAAACTCTAACTAACTATATGATATAGTGAACACAAAACTCACTTACTCATTTCGCCTCTTATTCTTGCCGCAAAAGCCGCCCGTGGTACTGTTTGATCGCTTTGGTCTCAAAAGATCGCCTTGAACGATCTGGTCTCAAAAGATCGCCTGGTCGCGAAAGATCGCCTGGTCGTAAAAGATCGCCTGGTCGCGAAAGATCGCCTGGTGTGAAAAGATCACCTGGTCGTAAAAGATCGCCTGGTGGGAAAAGATCACCTGGTCGTAAAAGATCGCCTGGTGGGAAAATATCGCCTGTTGGTAAAAGATCGCCTGGTGGGAAAAGATCGCCTGGTGGGAAATATCGCCTGTTGGTAAAAGATCGCCTGTTGGGAAAATATCGCCTGTTGGTAAAAGATCGCCTGTTGGGAAAAGATCGCCTGTTGGTAAAAGATCGCCTTGTCGCGAAAGATCGCTTGGTCTCAAAATATCGCTTGGTCGCGAAAGATCGCCTGGTGGTAAAAGATCTCCTGGTGGTAAAAGATCGCCTGGTGGTAAAAGATCACCTGGTGGTAAAAGATCTCCTGTTGGTAAAAGATCGCTCCTAGATAGCTTGGATCGCTCCCAAGAGTTTCTTGCTAGATCGCTTCGGTTGTTAAAGTGAGGAAGCCATTGTTGGCGGCCTCAATCGTAGTTATGGCAAGAAGCGGGATGGATGGGAGAATAGAAAGTAGACTTCGATTTTACAAATATATAGTTTTTAATTGCCTACAGCATACAGCTGTACAGAATTCGGTCTAGGTAGCTCACTATTCAATGGAGCCTACAGCATAAATTTAGGAAATGCGCTGAATTGAAACAAGGGCTTCAAATAAATCAATGGTACTGTAGTAAAATTATCAAGCAGCTTTTTCCATTAAAAGGAAAACGATTCTTCCTGGGAATGAGTGTCTTTTGACATTTTATTTAATATTTCTATCTTTCTGGCTAATGGTCCTACTACAAATCCCGAAAGCTAGGGAAAGTAAATAAAATATCAAAAGAAACTCTTCCCTGGATAAGGATTCCACACAATTTAGATAAAAAGGATTAAATTATTCAAATGTTTGTTTTTCCATATAAACGGAGTTGGGTATTTTGTGTATACCTATGATTTTAATATATTCCTTGTTTTTTTAATCATATTCCAATTACTTCTTCAATCTTTAATAAGATCAAATCGGTGCTGAAGAGGACAAGATTTGAAAGTGTGGAAGCGGTTAAAGCAAAAGCGACGGAGGTTCTCAACCAGCTTACAGACTTCAGCACTGCTTCCAAAAATGGAAAAGTCGTATGGAGCGGTGTAGGGATCGCCAAGGAGATAAGGTGTCTGTTGTAATTGGTGACGAATAAAAATAGACATGAGTCCGGTTATTACACCTCGTATATACAGAGAGTGTCAGTAATCCATCACTGATAATATTCTCTGCATTATAAAAATATAAACTTTTGAACGTTCATTATTTTGTGTTAAGAAAAGTTATATTTGGAAGATAGAAAAGAACTTAGAGGAGGAGAGAGCATGGATGAAGTTATGGACGTGGAGACGTCTCCATTAAAACAGATGTTCGACAGAGAGAAAAGGAGGACAGTTCTGTGTGAACACACGTGTTGGCAGACAGCCTGGCCTTAGCTATGGAAGCGAGCCGTCCAGAAACGATCGCTGATGCCAGGAATCTCATGACCATCAGTAGTGGGAAAGTGTAACATATTTTTCCAATTATTTTACACCATTTTAAGGGCCACTGGCTTCTGCTTTTCCCCAGAGGAATTTCAATAGGCCTATCAATCAAGACGGATTTCATTTGCTTCCTGATAATCTAAGTGTGATAAACTCTGAGTTCCCGCTAGGGTTGTAAACCATCGCCGTTTGTATTTGCTAGCATTTAATTAAAGGAAGTTCCATGAACCAATATCCAGGCACCAGCCTGCTTTGAGCAACCGGTAAAAGCCAACCGGGCCCACCAACGTGCTGTCGGCCCCAACGATAGACGCTTTGCAACGCATCGAAGGGAGCGCGACTGAGATCCAACTACGAGCTTTTTAACCGCAACAACTTTAATATACGCTATTGGAGCTAGAGTTACCGCGGCTGCTGGCACTAGACTTGCCCTCCAATAGATCCTCGTTAAAAGGTTTAGAGTGTACTCATTCCAATTACGGAGCCTCGTTAGAGTCCCGTATTGTTATTTTTCGTCACTACCTCCCCGTGCCGGGAGTGGGTAATTTGCGCGCCAGCTGCCTTCCTTGAATGTGGTAGCCGTTTCTCAGGCTCCCTCTCCAGAATCGAACCCTGATTCCCCGTTACCCGTAACAACCATGGTAGGCGCATAACCTACCATCGAAAGTTGATAAGGCAGACACTTGAAAGATGCGTCGCCAGTGCTAGGACTGTGCAATCTGCCATAGTTATTCAGAGTCACCACGACTATCGGAGTTTCCCCCGTTTGGTCTTGGTCTAATAAAAGCACCCTCACCCTAAAAGGGACGAGGGCTCAATTGCATGTATTAGCTCTAGAATTACCACAGTTATCCAAGTAAATGTGTACGATCTAAGGAACCATAACTGATTTAATGAGCCATTCGCGGTTTCGCCTTGCTAGGGCGTGTACTTAGACATGCATGGCTTAATCTTTGAGACAAGCATATGCCTACTGGCAGGATCAACCAGGTATCCTTCGCCAGTCCCCGCCGCGAGACGCCCTCGGGCCGCCTCGCCGGGACCACGCTTAGGGACGCAGCGCCCGCCTCTAAAATTAATTGAATTAAATTAAATTAAATTAATTAATTAAAGGAAGTTGTCATTGTGTGAAATCAATCCGATATACTTCAAAGACCAGTAAACTTGTTGTTTCTGGAGCCTCCTAGTAATAACAATAAATCACAGCGTAGACCTGAATGAATACGAAGAATGCAATATTTAGGATTAAAAATCGCTGAAGGTTATGTTACAAAGGATAGGTCCAAGTACAGATTTTTGAGGGCATCCATATTCTTTATGTGTTGTATGTTTGTATGTGTTGTGTTGTGTGGGTTTGTATGTGTGGTGTGTGTTGTGTGTGTTTATAGGTGATGTGGTGTGTGTAACACACATTCTCTCTCACTCTATTTAATATTTAAGAGGTTTAATGCTTACATTTTTTATTACAGAAAGATACAAAGATTAGCATATTTAAGCGTTAAGGATAGGATTAGGTGATACGTGGAATGTTGGCGAAAAAACACACAAAAAAAACTTTTTGGCTCTCAGTCAACAATTATTTAATTCTGAAAATAGAGCAATCCATATTGTTATATTATGAACAATTATTTAATTAAAGAGAAAGAATTAAAAATATGTGTAAACTTAAAAAAACACATATTACATATTTACAACTTCAGGCCGGGAGGCTCCTCTACCTTGAGGAAGTTTTCCTCCAGACAAGGTTTTCTTTCACTCCCTACAGTTCTGTGTTTAGGAGGAATTTGTTCAAGCACGCCTTAGCGGACATGAGAATGGTCATAACGCCATCATCCAAGCCTCGCCTAAAGACCAAGTCCTGAAGGTCAGGGATAATGGTAAAGGTCTCAGGACAAGAGGCCCGACGCAGCGGCAGGACCAGTACCTATAGGCCAGCGACAGGTCATTGGATGTCCTGCGCGGGTTAACACCATCGGCTGGCTGTCGCTCGGTACCTCGCCTTCTCCGTACACAACTCAGATGTCGCAGTCAGACTGACCTTGCCCCATCCTCGACCCGACAGTCCTGCGTCGATTAGTTGATGACAGAAACTGGTCAGCCACGCGGGGTCAACCAGAGCGCAGCACATTGGCCGAGTGAGGGGAGCGGTAGGGCTAGCGGAGTCCCTAAAGCGACGCCGACCCATCGCACAGAAGCCTGGAGTTCGGGTGGACGGAGGAAATAGCAGCCATCGATGATGGGGGAGGTCCAGGAGTAGGCTTTGCGGCTACCACGCAGAGTGGCCTGCACATCCCTGAAGAACGCCGGTCGCAGCTGAGTGCCGATGTCGAGATTTGGTCCTAATCCTCCCTGTGAGACGGGCCTAGCCAAGATGCTACCGGGAAACCATGGTATAGTCTGTGGGCAGGTAGACGTGAATGTGGTGATCCACCGAGGTGAGCACTAAGGAGTTGGCGGCCCTGGCCCGATCGACGAGAGATAGGCCGTGGGTGTAGGGGCTCATCTCGCTATGGTGGCTCCCAAATGATCCAGGAGAGGTTGTTCTTGAATAAAGTATGGGTTTCCCGGTATCACAGGATAGCACAGAACCATCAGATGCTTCGACGACCGGGAGATGCCCAGTGTAACGTTTTTTCGGGTACACCAGGCACCACACTAAAGGCCTTTGCTCTTGGCAACGTTTCCTTTTATACCTGAATCACGCTGTAATTTCTCGATGATGAATGTGACTACGCCAAAATGCTCCTCGCAGCGGATGAGCAGGACGATGTCGCCGGCGTAGGTGAGAACATTCCTGGGGCCGAGCGTTTGCTCTAGGCGACACCGTAGAGAGCCTGAACGGAGATTGAAGAGTGCGGCGCTGACGGCGAAACCCTGCCTCACACCATTCAAAAGATGGATGAGGCTAGTATGGAAGACTCTGGTTTGGATCTTCGCGTCCGCCCCGGCATAGAGATGGAGAAATCACCAAATGAGAAGGCCGGCGGCAACCGTAGAGAGACCATCAGAGACACCAAGAAGCCGTGATTCAAGGTGTCAACCCTTGACGACCAGCGGTAATCCGCTCCTCTTAGGCACGTCGACCTTGTCGGACACGCGCGATTTTTCAAGAAAACGACATTCCCGGAACGACGTAAGTCTAGAAGCGAAATTCCACACACACACACACACACAGGACAGGGATAAGAGGCAGCAGATACAGGAGGGGTAGGTTGCCACCTTCGTGGTGGACGTTTGTTGTGGTAATCTGGCGTACGCGAATTGCGCGCCTGAAGTCGGGCAGTGGTGAGTATTTAGCGTACGACGACGCAGCTTCGAGCCTGGCTTGCAGGAACCGCATGGTGTACGCAACCTGGTCGTTATCAGCGACGCGAAGGACGTGGAAGAATCTCACCTCTTCCAGGAGTCCTACTTTGATGGAAAACCAGCCGCTTCAGAGATCTCCGCCAGTCATATACGTGATGGCTGCAGAGATGCTGCACATTTTCATTGACAGACGGCACACTTCGAGTACCGTGCGAACATGGCGGCCACACAGGGTTGACGAGGAGCCGGAGTCGCGCCCAGCTGGAGAAGCACAGCTCGGTGGTCTGAGAGCCTGTAATGGATGGTCTGGTATTGGGAGACGCGATATGAGAATCTCGATGGGAGAACGACTCTGTCCAAACGACAGGCGTCAACCCGGTTCCCATTGCTGGCCACTCTAGAGTATGGCTGCATTGACGAGGGCTGTTTGGTCCAGCATCTCCGAGAGGGCTCCCACCGAGCCGGAAGTTGTGCGTTTGTGGACTATTATATTCAGTTCGCCCAAAAACGACACGTCCTCCTAGACCGCGGTAGTTTCAATAAGCTCTAGCTGCTGGTGCCGCTGGCAAGAAGAATGAAAGAGGTGGAAGTTGATGACGCTCGATGAAGACGACAGCGATGTGGTCCGGCCACAAAAAGCGCTGCCGCAGGGAGGCGACGCCCGGCGCGAAGACGCAGGCGAGGCCTGAATTCCTAATGGCAGTATATTTCGCGATTACGGCCCTTTAGCCGAGGCAGAGGTCTCGAACATCGTCTTTCGACATGGAGGTCGCCTTCTGTATGAAGGTGACATCCACGCGGTGATGGCGCAGAAAGTGGCAGAACTCGATGCTCCTCTCGCGAGCATCAAGCCCACGTACGTTGAGGCACGCAATGCTGAATTTCATTGGGCACAATTTGTCTGGGCACGAACGGCCGTGAGACGTTTGTAGAATTCCGTTTTGGTGGCGAGTAGGCACCCTTGCAACTCAGGGCCAACCTGTGAAGCCCGATCTTTTGAGCAATTCATTCTCTTGAGTAGGTTCAGAAAGGCAGGGACCAAGACGAGATCCTCTGGATTTTCTCCCTTATCGAGCCCATTAACCTCATCAAAGAGGAACCTGTGAACTCGCTCTAGTAGATGTCGAGCAGCTACCGTGTTTTAGAGGCGCTCCCGAACGGAGTAGAAATCTGAGTCTCCTCGTCGTTCAACGACAGTTCCTTCATGTCTTGTGGAATACCGTCTTGTTGGGATTTCGGTGATCCGAGAAAGGGGGAGTGGAATTCATCACTTCCTTAAGGATCTTGGACAACCTCCACATTTGGTGGCACAGGTCTGATGCATATTGCACGTTTGGTTGGACACAGTGGTAGACGGCGTAACGTCACCGGTGTTGGAGGGCTCGGAGATATATGCAGCAATAATAAGCTTGTTTTATGTTTAAAAGAAACATTCGTGCTTTGATGCTTCCATTTCTTATATATAGATATGGCACATTATCGCCTTATAATTAATGAGCTTGTTGGTGCTCGAGGTGCAGTTGGCTCTGCGATTCCCTTGCCTGTGATACCTTGATCATTTTACTCCGTAGAAGAGGAAGGTGGAAAAGTCTCTCCCCTTGGGCCGGATGTCGAGGCGCAACGGAAGTCTCTCCAACTTGACTCCATCTTTCATCAGAATAAAGACCTCGCGGTGGCTATCCTTGAAGGTGAAATACCCCCACATTGGGGAACCCGGGACGATAGATCTAACACGCCCATACAGCGTCAACTTCTCTGCTTCCTCCGCACAGAAGGACAGATTGCTAATGATAACCTTCTCCACCATTCTTTGTATCATTATTTTCGAGACCTTCCTCTATGAGGATCTACGAATGGGCCTCGGTGGCCAGGTCGACGAGAACGTGGCCGTTCATCCTGGCCAGCTACAGGATGTTGCTGCCTACAACCAGCCTCCGTTGGTGCTGGAGTTGAGAGAAGTCGGGGCAGTGCTCCAGATAAAATCAATTGTCCAGGTTGTCCGTGGTGTACCCTGGATTCCGCGATTCTCTATTGCGTGGCTTTGATCTACTGTGCAGGCGGACGACGCTTTGTAGGAGGCGTTGGTACTCCTCTGGCTGCCTGTGGCATACCGGACTGCACCGTTGAGGAACGTGGATAAGCTTATGTCCTCGGCCTCTTCATTCTAACCTCGATGAAGGGAGCAAGGTTATGGGGAGCCGACGTGTTGTCCGCCCAGTTGACATCACCAGAGCGAGCACTGATGGGAGCTGGGGATCCGCCACCAGCCGCTGTGGACCTTGGAGGAGTAGCGTTGGCTTGACGTCCCTTTTAACAAAGGGGGATTTTTCCTTTAGGTTTTCTTTTTCTGATATATCAGCCGTACGTTTGTCGAGGTTGTTTAAATTCATATTCTCTTGTAGAGGGGATTTTCAAGATTCTCATCCAGAATAATAAAAAACAGAGAATTCCATATCGCGGTCGCTAGGCGACAAAAACCGCGGTACAGCTTGGCCGCGTGGCCGGTTTACACGGCGCGGTAATTAAGATAAATGTTTCGAAGTCGTAGATACACCACGGTATACAGTAGAACCTCCCTTAGCGGACACCTCTAAACAACGGACAGTTTTATCGCCAAAATTGTCCTCCCATTGGAAATACGCTCGCGTACATTCTCGGTAGCGGACAAACAACGGACGCTTTCCCA